AAAAAGACAAAAAAAAAAAAAAGCTTGGGCCAGCATGCCCCCATATCCTTTTTATAAATTTTTAATTTTTATTTATTTTTATTTTATGTATATGAGTCTTTTGTTTGCATGTATGTAAGTGTACCACATTTGTACAATGCCCAGAGAGGTCAAAAGAGAGGTGTTGAATCCCCTGGAACTGGAGTTATAGATGGTTGTTAGCTGCCATACAGGTGCTGGAAACCAAACCCAGGTCCTTTGTAAGAGCAGCCAGTGCTCTTAACTCCAGCCCCCTGACCCCCCATTTCCTTTTTAAGAGGCTGCTCACATCTCCAAGTCCTCATACCACCTGAGAAAGGTCCCAAAACTGGAGCAGCTCTAGTGGATACCAGGGATCAGAGCAGAATCTTGAGGGACTGAGTAACAGGAATAGGAAAAGTTCTCTGATGGAGTCTGCTCTCAATTCCTGAAGCCTCTTAAATCTATAAAGAGACACATTCCCACTGTGTGTGTGTGTGTGTGTGTGTGTGTGTGTGTGTGTGTGTACAACTGGGAGCATCCCTGGAGGAAGAAGGGAGGGTGAGGACTCAGGCTGGGAATGGGGTGGGGCCTGCCAGGCAAGGAAGGGAACTAAGCCTTTGAGCTTTCTGGGTGAACTCAAGCCACAAGAGCCACAAGATAAAGTGGGTGAAGCCATAGGACACAAGTGCCAGGCCTTAGGACTCATACTTCTGATCTGGCTCCACATTGAGGTAGGAGGGATCTTAGCCAGCAGGTCAGCTGGCAGCCCTGGGAGGAAGGTGCTGGGGTAGGGGATCTGCAGCCCACCCAAAGAGCTGACTAACTTAGTTCCTACACTAAGTAAGTGTTCCCTGAACTTCGCTTAGATATCTGCTCACTCAGTTCACACCTCAAGTGGCCACCATGAGAGTCCTGAGCATCTCCTGAGAAAGGAGAGCAGTCGATCCTGATTGAGGACTGGACAGGGCAGGGGTTAGGGTGTGGGGTGAGAGATCTTGGCATTTCCCCGTTGCTGGCTAGAGTCTTTAAGGAGTGGCAGATAAGGTACTGAAGCGAGATCAGGTCAGAGGGATCTTGAATCCAGAATCACAAGTTTAACTCATTTCCAGAGACTATCTGCTACACCCATCCTACGTGGCCCTGCACCAACCAGGAAAAGCACTGTGGTTACACAGACACTTGTGGTTCTTGAAATGGGCAGAGAAGACTACAGGCAGTCAGGGACATGATGTGTTCTGGAAAGGCTTGGGTCCACTCTCTTGGAGAATAATCCTTAAAGGCAGCCAGTAAATCACCTGGGTGGGCTCCCTGGGAATAGTAGCGAGGGGAGAGGACATGGGGCAAAAGCGATTCAGTTAGGAGCTGGGTGGGTGCTGCTAGCAGAGGCCCGCCCAGTTCCTTTTTAGACTGAGATGGCAGGGCCGTGGCTCCCCCTGGCGGCTGTGCTGCTCCACGCGACACTGGTAGCAGGATCCTATGACTTCAAATCCTTCTCATGAGGCTCTATCGCTGCGTGACTAGAGATTAAATAGTCGCCTTCTGCCTCTCTCAGGCTTTCACAATCCTCACCCCTGCCGACCTGCCCCGCCTTGAGCAACAGAATGCCCACCGGCCTCAAGGGTCGCCAAGTGCTTGACCTGGTATACCCAAAGTTCTTGTTGGTGCTGCTGCTGCTGCTAGCGCCTCAGTTGGAGCCAGTAACTGGGGCTCAGACCACGCCAGGCACTTCCAGCACCCTGAGCACGACGGGCGGCCCCAAAGTCCCAGACCTGCCAAACCTGCGAGAGCAAGCGCGCGCCCTGATGAGAGACTTCCCGCTTGTGGATGGGTGAGTTAAGTAAGGTGTAGGGACTAGTGGGAGACAGGGCTGAGCACATTCCTGAGCTGGGAAGGGTTCTGAGCTTGTGGGGCCAATAAAAATGGCCTTTCCTCTCTCCCATCTCTAGATGCTGTCTCCTATCACCAATGGGTGCCCTTTCTCCTCTATCACTCCCTCTCTGGAGAGAACCCCCATGACCAGCCCAGGCCTTGGGGATGTCAGTATGGTCTGGGCAACTGTTTTGGATGGAAGTGGCCTTAGGAATTATGTCCTGCCAGACCTGGAAGCCAAAGAGGCACAACTTGCGTGTGTGTGTGCGTGTGTGTGCATGTGTGTGTGTGTGTGTGTGTGTGTGTGTGTGTGTGTGCCTCACCCTAGCTCAGGCTGCCCAGGAACTCACTAAGCAGCCCAGGCTAGCATGGAACTTTCAATGATCCTCCTGCCTTAGCCTTGTGAGTGCTGTGATTACAGATGGAACCATTTTAACCTAACCTCTTCCTTGACTTTATTCCAGCCACAATGACCTACCTCTGGTCCTGAGACAGTTTTACCAGAATGGGGTACAGGATGCTAACCTTCGAAACTTCTCCTATGGCCAGACCAGCCTAGACAGGCTTCGAGATGGCCTTGTGGGTGCTCAGGTACCACAGGGACACAAAAAGTGCCAGCATGGCTGTTGGGGAAGGTTGGGAAGAGTGGAGCCCCCCAAGATCACAAGTTAGTCAGGTGAGAACACAGTTACCATAGTGACTCAAAAGTGCCATATATGGTGCTGTGGCTATGGGGCAAACAGTGATCCAAGGTGGTGGGTATGAAGAACAGAACAAGAAGGACACTACATATGTGGTATCTGGGCCCATGGATCTGCCACTTGTGAAGGCCCAGGGAGCTCCAAAGCAGCACCCTACACAAGCCAACCCCTCTCTTTGCCCCTAGTTCTGGTCAGCTTACGTCCCATGCCAGACCCAGGACCGGGATGCTGTGCGCCTCACGCTGGAACAGATTGACCTCATTCGCCATATGTGTGCCTCTTATTCTGAGCTGGAGCTTGTGACCTCAGTTAAAGGTAAGTGTACTGCTGCAGGGTATTAGGAACTTGATGAAACTACTATCTATCTAGTTCCTGAAAATAATCACCTGACCTACCTGATTGCAGCTCTGAACAGTACCCGGAAATTGGCCTGCCTCATTGGCGTGGAGGGTGGACACTCCCTGGATAACAGCCTCTCTGTGCTTCGAAGTTTCTATCTGCTGGGAGTGCGCTACCTGACACTCACACACACCTGCAACACGCCCTGGTGAGCGCAGTACAGATGGTGTGGAAAATCTGCCCCTGTGCGCACAAACCAAGCTTTACCCTTAGGATTGGGCATTGATCCACAGGGGCTGATATTTTGGGTTTCACAAACCAAGATTTGGATTTGTGCTAAGGCACAGCCCAATCCTGGGTTCTTGAATTAACTCCATGGGGTTGTAGGGATAGAGGGGTTTGGTGGGGCACAGCTACCAACTAGATTAACTTCTGGCCATCCTATAGGGCAGAGAGCTCATCTAAGGGCATCCACTCATTCTACAACAGTGTCAATGGCCTGACCAGCTTTGGTGAGGTAAGGACCCTGATTGAAACTCCATTCCATGTGCCCTGTTTCTAAGTGATAAATGTATTTATCACGTGTATTCCTACCACCTTTCTTCTAACCTGTTCCTGCAGAAGGTGGTGGCAGAAATGAATCGCTTGGGCATGATGGTTGACTTGTCCCATGTCTCTGATGCTGTGGCACGGACGGCCCTGAAAGTGTCACAGGCACCTGTGATCTTCTCTCACTCCGCTGCCCGGGGTGTGTGCAGAAATGCTCGAAATCTTCCTGATGATATCCTGAAGCTTCTGGTGAGAAACTATCCAGCCCTGGAACTTAAAACAAGAGCTTCAGACCAGAAGGCCTTGAACTTGAACCCCTGTTCCCTCAATTTCTTCAGTCCCCAGGTTGAACATCTTCTGCCCCACAAACATATGGTTCATAGCCCCTGAACTCTTGAACCCGAAGGGTTGTTCTAGATGATAAATATTCCTCTAGCCCTCAAACTCAAGGCCAAAATATCACCAAAACCAAGGTTAAGCCTTCACCCATTGATGCAAAGCCAAGGAAGTAAAATCTCTTCTAGTCTCCAAAGCTTTCTCACAGGGGTAGGCAGGCACACAATTATGCTGGGGACCAAGTTGAATGTCCATTTGACCATCCCTACAGAAGAAGAATGGTGGCATCGTGATGGTAACCTTGTCTGTGGGGGTACTGCAGTGCAACCCGCTAGCCAACGTGTCCACTGTGGCAGGTGAGCATCCCTATTTCTCTCCCTTTCTTCTTTTGTTATTTTCTTTTCTTCCTTGCTTTAAGCTTGAGGACAGTTTTATTGGAGTTAAAGAGGAAAAAAGGAATAGAGAAGGCAAGCTGTAAATGTCAGCAGCTTCAGTAAAGCAGGAAGGAGAGAGATGGTTAAGAGAAGAGAGAAAGTCATGCTTTTGCAGTAGAGGTAAGAAAAGCAAGCAGACCCAGCAATGGCGTCTTCAAGCAAATGGTTGAGGTGGGGTTGGGAAGCAGCTTTGGAAAGAGAGGTATAGGATTCTAGCTGATATCTGAGAAAAAGGAGACAGGCAGAGGGAAAAGAAAAAAAATGGGGGCATTAAAACCCAGAAAGGGTGGATACTTAGCAGTTAAGATTTGAAAGCAATTCCCTCCTGAAGCCTTGGGAGTGTCTCAGCACAGCCTTAACAATTTAGCCAAAATTTCCACGATGGGGGCTGGAGATGTAGCTCAGTTGGTAGGGTGCTTGCCTACCAGGAATACCTGTATTTGATTCTCAGAACCACATAAACCTAGGAGTGGGATACACCTGTAATCCCAGATGGATAAGGAAGATCATGAAGTTCAAGGTCATCCTTAGCTCCATAGTAAGTTAGAGGTCCACCTGGATTACAAGAGATCCTGTCTCAAAAAAACAAAAAACAAAAAACAAAAAAACCCATGATGGGCAGCACACAGCACCTCAATACCGCCTTGAACTAGAGTTAAAGAATTCAAACTGGGGTGGGGGGGAGCTGAAGAGATGACTCAGCGGTTAAGAGCACTGTTCTTGCAGAAGACCCGGGTTCAAATCCCAGCACCCACATGGCAGCTAACAATTTTCCATAACTCCAGTCCCAAGGGGTCCAACAGCCTCTTCTGACCTCCTAGGGCATTGCACTACACGGATGCACTTACCTACATGCAGGCAATACACGCATACACATAAAATTTAAAAAATAATAAAAATTAAAAAAAAAATAATTCAAACTGGGCTGGAGAAATGCATTTACTCCAGCCTGGAGTCTAGTATAGAGCCAGTTGGGATTAGTTCAGGTCAAACCTAAGGACCTTCTGGGTGCCAAGGCCATGAAAGAACTGGACTACATGGAGCTACAAGGGAATCAGTCAAGTCCAGTTTCAGGGCCACTCTTTCCCCAGAAGCAACACTACTGACTCTCCATCTTTCCAGATCACTTTGACCACATCAGGGCAGTCATCGGATCTGAGTTCATTGGGATTGGTGGAGATTATGATGGCACCAGCCAGTGAGTACTTCCCTGTGGCTTGATTGCAACTGCTCTCACTGTGTGATCCTCAAAGCCTTTAGGCCTTGCCCATCTGATACCTCTCTATTCCCGGGGTCTACTTCCTGTACTTTTCTGTCTTCAGCCTGTGGACCCCATTAAGGCATATATTTGGCTACCCTGTCAGAAAGCTCATCTACCCAGCACATGTACCCATTCCCAGTCCTAACAGACCCATTCCCTCTGAGACGACTGTCAGCAATTCTGGTATGGGCTGTTCATCTTCTGTGCCCTGATCTGAGGTTTTTCTTTCTTTCCTCCCTCCCTTCCCTCTTTCCTTCTTCCTTTCCTCCCTCTCTTCCTCCCTCTCTCTCTCCCTCCCTCCCTCCCAAGGTTTCACTACATAGCCCAAGTTGTCCTCAAATTGCTTGGTTTTTGAAAATCTATTTATTTACTTATTTATTGGGGAGGACATGCATGCCACAGTGGATGTGTGACAGAGGATAACTTTATAGAAATAGGTTCCATTCTCTTCTTCTACCATGTGGGTTCCAGGGATTGAACTCAGGTCATCAGGCTTAGTGGCAAGTGCCTTTACCTTTACTTTGCATTTGCCAGCCCCTGCTTTTGTTTCTTTAGGATATTTTTCTTTCCCAGTTCTAGGGATCAACCAGGCCTTGTACACACAAGCCAAGCACTCTACAACTGAGCTACAACTTCAGCACCCTCCCCCTTTTTTGTAAATGGAGAAGACTTTTTCATTTATTGGAAGGCATAAATCTTTTTTAACTTTCTAAAAAAATTTTTTTATGTGTATGCATGTATTGCCTGCATGTAGGTAAGTGCACCCGTGTCGTGTGATGCCCAAGGAGGTCAGAAGAGGCTGTTGGATCCCCTGGGACTGGAGTTACGGACAATTCTTAGCTGCCATATGGGTGCTATTATTCGAACTCGGGTCTTCTGCAAGAAAGTCAGTGTTCTTAACCATTGAGCCATCTCTCCAGCCCTAAGGAAGGCATAAATCTTTTATTGTTTTTTTTTATGTTTATGAGTGTATTGCCTGCATGTATGTGAGTGCACCCACTTTGTGCAATGCCTCGGAAGTCAGAAGAGGGCTTCAGATTCTCCTGGAACTGGAGTTAAGGACGGTTTGTAGCCGCCATGTGGGTGCTGGGAATCGAACTTGGGTCCTCTGCAAGAGCAGTCAGTGCTCTTAACCACTGAGCCATCTCTCCAGCCCCAAAGGCTGTACTTTTAAGAGTACAATTCCGTCAGTTTTAGAAAATATTCAATGAGCCGGGTGTGGTAGCACACACCTTTAGTTCCAGCACTAAAGGCAGAGGCAGGCGGATCTCTGTGAGTTCGAGGCCAGCCTGGTCTACA